CATGTTTACAGTACGGGTTTTTAGTGAACCTGCTGCCGGTGTTTGCCTATTCTATACACTTCTGATCTATTGTCCTTGAAAACGTTAATATTTATGTCACTTCCGGTAGGTTGTTTTGAGAAAAAACGAAAATAAAACTGACGGTTCAAATGGTGGCCCCCGTCTAACAAGTTCGAAGTCAGAAAAATATCGACATTACCGGTACTCATTCAAAAATCGACTTGTTGCTAGCGAATCTAGAGCCGAAATTCAATAAAATCGAAATAGGCTCAGTACGATCGATGTGGGTGACGTCATGTGGATCGCAATATACGATGACGAACGCTCTGTCGCGCGTATGGGTGTGTCGTTTTTAGGTCGTGGCTCTAATGTGAACTTGAGCGTGAACAACGTGTGAAATTGAATGAGGACGATGCGTTATAGGGTCACGGAGAATGTCGCGTCCAATAATGACAGACGTGTGAACCTCAAATGTGATGTTGATTTCAGTGTTATCATCCCGACAGGGAGGCTCGTTAAGAAGTAATTACTGAGACGATTTTAAAATATATTTTTCCAACGAGTATCAGCTCAGGCGAGAAAGATAATAAAAATGAAAACGTAATTATTTGTGATCCTAATTAAAGAGTTAATTAAAGTGATGTACGTTGACACCACGAACTCGGTGATTGGAAGACATCTTTTTTAAAAAAACTTAATTAAATGCGATAAATTCAAACAACAATGATAATCCCCATTTGATTTGAAAATGGTCGTTAAAAATATTTTAGGGAAATTTTACATGTACAGGTGTTCTAGCTGAAGTTCACCAACGTAAATACAGTGTAAATGTAGCCAATATATATATAGGTGGCAGGGAGTGGGGAGGGGATCATAAGTTGGCACAATTCAGTTGGAAATCCATCAAACTCGACTGTAGAATCATTGATCAATTCCCACTGCACGTGCAAAAAAAACAATTTACAGTTGACACTTGGCATTTGATTCTAGCGAACGTGGACAATTGGAATGATAAATGACAATCGAATGCATTTAGTACACTGCACTCCATTAGACGTCGATATGAGGCAGGCACCGTTTTCCTTTGGTGATTCCTGTCCGTTCTCGGCCTCAAATGAACAGCTACCAATCAATCCTGGTTTATGAAGAATATTGCTATTTATATGGCAGACTATCTAAAAAAAATTGAAACATATAATATGAGATTACTGAATTGTCAATCGAAAAAAATACAGTACGCGTAGATGAACGCAGTCGATTTAAAATAATAAGCGTTGGTGGCGCTGTGGTACTAAATAATAACATGGACATTGCGGCGAGCAGCGCGTGGCGACTAGTTATGAAATAGTGCGATTGCGACGGAGCAGCACTAGTAGTTGCTAATTGTAAAATAAAGAAAATTGTTAAAACAACATGATAAATTTATGAGGAGGGTGATAAAATCACTGTGATCGTATTGTATATGTCAAATATATAACATGTAGTTTTATTCTTTATTTCAACCACTCAGCTGTGTAACCGGGCCGTTTACATGCGGCGATTCACCTGTAGCAACATAATAATGATTTCAATCTCTAGTTGAGTTACTAAAACATAGAGCATCGATTCTGTCAGCTCACCCATTAAAATGTGCGATCAACCTAATTTCAGGAAGGTGGTTGTTTATTTCTGATCCAAACTATAAGGCTATGTCCAATAGTCACGTCAGGTTGTGCAAGTTTTTATTCTCACGATATTGTACTGCGCCCTCACGCGTTCTCGTCAGGTATATAGTTTTTACTGAGGACGGATTTATTATGTGGAAACGCCTGATGGCGTCATTCTGTGGCCAAATATTGTACCACGTGTAAGAAGAAATTCCGTTATTATTTTTTTATTTTTTGTTGTTGAAATATGTTTTTAATCTGGTGTATATTTTAAGTGATTTATGGTTCTTTTTTAAAATATTCTCCGCACTGACATGTGTTTATCCTCAGGGGAATCCCTATATACTGATTAGTTTGTTGATGAAAATCTTACTTGCATTATATTTAAATTAAAAATATATATATAAAATATTCATTCATTCAATCATAAGGGAGATTATATGGGCACTCAGACTACCTTAATTGTTTTTGTTTTGTTTTTTTGTTTTTTATAATCGTTTTGGGGTTTATGTAAATATATACAATTAATCTCTTATACAAACACGAATTCAATTCGTATAGCAGTTTCCAATTTACAACGTGTACTGAAGCTCAAGTTTTATCTGTGTTGCCTTCACTGCTTTCCCACAAGTCATGTTTCACAGGTGATATCAAAGTACATGCAATTAAACTCTCTACTCCGCCCTATAGTTTCATCTACAAAAGCTCTTTAACATGTCAATAACACACTGTGTTATGTTATTCCAATCTTCAAACCAGATAAAACTGATAAACACAATTTTACCAACTTTGTCAAAAGTCATGTAAAAAAAAACTAGTCTGATGAAAACTTATTCATTTCCAAGTGATAATCGTCATTCAATATTTTCTGCATTCAGACCCAACCATTCTACTGCTACCGTACTAAACTCCAACATTTAATTGGCGACATATTCAATGATGTGTATACCAAGAAAGCATTGTGCTATTTTATGTTAAATCTATCCAATACATTCCACTCTGTCAATCAAAATAATCTTCTCCGCAAACTCCAATGCTATACCCTCCATCCACATACTCTTATCATACCAAACATACTCATTGTGTAAATATCGGTGGCCACTAATTCGGATATAACTGATGTAAGTTCTAGGGTTCCGTAGCGTAAGCGGATCAGTACTATACATCAATAATCTTCCCATCGTGAATGCAATCCCCATCACCGATCTATGCCTATGAGGATAACATAAACATTCCTAAATCTTCTCCGTCAACAGATCTCGCTGTACTGCATAGGTAACTAAAATAAGAAATTATTCGCCTGCAACAACGGTTTGGCCAATATATCGAAGTACAGATAACAGCTCGAAAATATCGATGATCACATTGAAACTCCTGCAATTCAAGATCAAATTATAAATTCAACGTCAGACCCCGAGTTGAAATGGTTCTATACTACGTGTTTCATCTTCGGCGGCCAGGTTTGTGGTTTTCACGTATCACGTTCGAACCTTCACGATAAAGTTCACAAAGATATTCATTTCAGCACCGTAAACTGTGCCCTCACATCTTGATTACTGTGACACTGTCTACTTAAATTTAAACTGTGATATTTCTCCGAAAAAGAGGGATGGCAATAAATAGAAGAAAAGCATTTCTAGAACGATAACTGTCTCAGAATACAGAATACAGAGCACATTCGTACAAAATCAAAACACGACTTGGAAGTTTATATTCTCGGCAACCATATACATCGGGTGACATCGTAGTGTTACTCGCCGAGGCGCTATTTGGATTTTAGCAAACTTAAAGTTGAATCAAAAATGGAGAAAACAGCACTTTTGTGAATCTCTACTAGTTGATATTTTATCTATAGACGTTTGTGATTCACAAGACGTTTGAGCTAATCCCCATTCACACCTATTTGAGTTTGTTTTAGTTATGTTTGACAATCATGAACATTAATAAAGCTGTACTTTGAAAAAATAGTGTACTTGTTATGGGCCTTTCTCATAAGATCAAAAATATAATATATATGACAGTGCGTTGAGCAAATGTCAAAGTTTTTTTTTTATATTTAATTTAAAAAAGGAAGAAAAGACTCCCTAAATCATGTTGTAATAATAGACTATTTATCAAATGCAAGCAACTCTTGGTTTCTCGTTACCTTTCACAATTACTAGGTACAAGATGATTGGCTCTATATGCGACTTACTGAAATATAGATATTATCGTATATGAAGATATGGCAGTATGAGACAAGCAGGCATCGTGAAATACATACTGATGATAAATTTACCTTGCAACTCGAACGCCACCTGAGAGATGGTTGCAGCACCTAATACTGGGTTCTATGACCATGATTCCTAAAATCGGCGTTTTATGATGTATTAGGTTTGAAATTACTCTAGATATTCTCACTGAAGAATTAGGAATATGTCTAACAGTTGAAAGATACATTATTTTTTGCCGGTTCGGTAATATAGCGCCACCAAGTGTTCCTTCTCTGCTAGTTAGGCATCAACTCCAAGAATTGGCTGGTTCCCGCCTCAAGTGTCATGGCGTACCATGCCACAAGAGGTCGGTACTGAACTAGTAACGGTTCCGGCATTCTGATTGGTCCGTTACTTTCTCATTGCTTGTTCTATTTCCCTTTGTTACATGACGTCAGCGCTTACGCTCTTGGCCCGAGAGCTGAGATTTCATTATACTAGTACTCTCGACAGTTTGGCGAATATAAAACTGTTTCTTTTGTTATAAATTTGCACCGAAAAAGTGAGAAATGTCAGAAACATCTCAAATATGTAAGTCCAAACAGGCAGAATGTATGGGCATGGCGTAATAAAGACTTGTTTACAGCAAACGAATGTTAAATTGTTTTCAAATGACGTTACTTAGTCACGTGCCTTTGGGCTGGAATCCTGGCCCAGTGGAACATTATGGCGAATACTAGTTACCTGCGTCCTACTTGCGATTCGGAAGAGACGTCGGAAACCAGCGAACTTCAAGCGGGGCCACATTTCACCTTGTTTACTACTGGTATCTTTACTTCAAAATTGTATATTATATTATATTACTAAACCTTTGATAATTTCAATAAAAACTTATTACTTTAATTGGTATCGGAGTGTATAATCTATAATAAATCGAGGGAAAATTTTTAAATCAATTCTTCACGATAAGAAAAGAAAGGTTTTGTATTGGCCCGCACGGCAATGTGATAACGTGTAATGTTTCCACCTTGAAGCGTTAAAGTTGGGCATTGACATGTACATGCATTTTTACAGGTCATAAGGTCACCAAATACTGGATTCCTGTGCGATGACGTAATACAAGTACATTGAATATCATTCAGTTGCTCTGTTATCACGGCATTGATTGGTTGGATTTCGAATAACAACTCCGTTTTTTTTTGTGTGTGCCCGGTGTAAAGAAACCAACAATATAACGAATACTGTGTGAATTACGGCGCCGCATACACTCCAGTGAACTTCAATCTCCTATTTTCACTGTAGACCGGACATTGTGGGTGCAGTTGCTACAGTCTATTTTTGTCAATCACAACTAACATGGCTTTTCAGGGTAAGTGGAAACACTACAAAGATGAAGGTTTCGACGCATTTCTCGACGCCATTGGTACACCCGAAGAAGCAAAGAAAGTTGCATTAGCCAGCCATCCCGTGATCGATTTCAGCAGAGACGGCGATTACTATGTGGTTCGTTTTACCGAGAGCGGGGGCACAGACAGAGAGTCCAGGTTCAAAGAGGGAGAGGAGTTCGACCATCCCGCTAGTGTGGCCGATGCTTCAAACACAAGACGTGTTGTTGCCACCCAGTTGTCCGACTCCAAGTTTCAAATCAAGACCGTGTCTGGCAGTCCCGATTGTGTTGAAACTCGTGACGTCATCGACGGCGAGTTGGTAACCACCCTGGAACATGGAAGCGTTACGTGTAAAAGATACTTCAAGAAAGTATAATATGGTTTCCGAGCTCCGTAGCATCCGCGTGATTTTGACGTAGAATTTGCGTAATTCGTTTAATCAATATAGTCTGGGAGAAGCAGGTCACGCCCACTCTTGAAACTGAACTGATATTAATAACTCATGAACATGTCTGGAAGATTAAATGGATTTATTCACAATTTAAGAACACGACACATGTAATAGTGCGTTGATTGTATTAGAACCAGACTAACTTATAGTAACTCAAAATGTTATTTGTCGGTCATGCTAGGCATAGACTGCTGTATTGTTACACCGTCTGAACTGAATTACCATATCATGCGTAGTTCGTGGGAAATAGTGTGAGGACTACTTAAGAACTACTCAACCTGTGCTTATGAATAGTTTGAAAGCCGGTTTATTGAAAAAGACCATCATTTAAATATAGATCGACATTGAAATGACCATTGAGACCTATCCAGGTACCACCATTGTATTCCAAAATTACCATCATGCGTGACTGCACAGTTTCTGTCCCATGATTTCAACAACTCCGTACGTCTATCTGACAGTGCTGGTATAAACTGTGTTATCCCGTAGCCATCTTGAATGTTAGTATGTCTGAGTATTCAAGTACAAACGACGATGTTGATTTAGTGTTGTTTTGACATATATTGTGTATTGCCTTCCGTAGTTGCTTTGTTCTAATCAATCATTAAATAAGTCATTTCATGTAACACAAGTGTCAAAATGATATTTAATATATTATTATTAACTCATCAATTTTAAATATCAACAAGATAATAATGTTCATCCACAATCACCAACTCACCCGACAAAGGTTACTTTTTTCCTCATTTTTTAAAAATCATTCCGATTTACTGGATTTTCCATCGCCCAAACCTCACGGTTATTACTGAAGATGTTATTTGTCATGGTGTTTGACAATTATCTACTCTACTTAAAATTCGACCAGATGCAGTGCAGTGAGCGTTGTTTACAATAAAAATGATAGCTTCGGAGTGAACGTCGACCGCTTTTGCTTTGCGTTTGCGACAATCAAGATGGTTTCTAATAAGTTTAAATAACTCATGGCTGTACCAGTTTGTTTTAGTTTTGAGTCAAAATAGTCGAAACGAAATTTAGGCAGAAACTACAGAATTGGGTGTAGTGAAATATGTACCCGGGATTTACGAGTCTGTAATTTATCCATTCAGAAAATTGTGAGGACCGTACGCAGTTTTAGGCAAAATGTTATCGAATGATTCGGTCGGCAACAAAATATCGCCCTCAACATATGTCTTTCGATCAGCAGATACAGCCTAACAAACAAACCCAAAACTATTCAGTATTGATTTAGCTGTAATTTTCAGGTAGGTTCATTGCATTATATAATTTATGATTAACAGCTTAAAATCAGGTGAGGAATAATATATCATGCTTGGTGGTGGTTGGTACTTGAGTAAAAATGGTCAGGAAGGACCTGTAATGTCTAGTTTTATAAGTTTTTTACGAAAGCCAAATCTCTCAGTTTTCTTGTGTAATTCAGCCAAAGTTACAAAAATGGTGGACGAGAATATTGGTATTGTACACATAAGACGTTCAAGTATGGCATATTATACCTAATAACTCTCACATTACAAGCACTGGTACATTTATATTAATTAAATATTGACAGGTGCATTACAACATAGACGACAGAATACAGCCTTGATAAGGTTTATTAAAATTGTCCATGACTTCAAAAGAGACCGCTGTATTGTTATAAGGTAAAACCTTAATGTTGCCGTGGGAAACTTGCCCTTCTCTGTGCTAGGTCGACAATGAAATGATTTTAACTGCATGAATGGTTTTGGAGTGAGCCACATTCAACTCATGCTGACAATGCAGCAAGCAACAGTCAACTCATGCTGGCATTGCAGAGAGCAACAGTCGACTCAAGCTGGCATTGCAGTGAACTACAGCCAACACATGCAGGCACTGGAACTAGCAGTGCTGGTAGTATGGCGAACAACAATCGACTCATGCTGGCATTGCAGTGAACCACAGTCGACTCAAGCTGGCATTGCAGTGAACTACAGCTAACCAATGAAATAACAATGATAGCTTCGAAACATAACAGCGCCATCAAACTCTAATGTGTTGCTCATCAGTGATTTTTGATCAGCTGGAACCCGTGGAAGATCAGTTGTAGACCTATCCTGAAAAACACATTCAAATTAATTGATCATACAGGATCGATAAATCTGTCCGATTTTAAGTTGACTAACTATAGTCGACAGAGTGTGAACGGTAAATTTGTAATTGTTTATAATTGTTTTTCTTCGTTGCTTCGGTTTTCGATGCTAGAACAAAGCTTTTTCAACGATTTTTCAGGAAGAAACTTTACCTGGTGTTTTAAGTGTTATTTCCTGTAATAAACCCATTCTGACAACTTGAATGAATTGATGGCTAAGACCGTGAGCTTGGCTAACAAAAATTAATTAGACATAACTTTTTATTAAAAGGGGGTCACCTTTTGTCAAAGTATTGCGGCAGACGTGACGCGAGATCTCGTAGTAGAAGTAAACATTATTACGATATCATATATATTTAAAATGCTCTACAAAACTTGAGTTTATTTACTCTCATATGATTGTTGTTGTCATTTATAAACAACACTGTAGTATATTTTGATACCCCTTAAC